ATAGTTTATGAACTGAAGGACCTTTTAATCAGCAAACAGTTAGGCTTGAAGAATTTGGCTGTAATTGGTACTGATAATGTTTCAGTGATGGTTGGTATAAACAATGGCGTTTATGCCAAGTTGAAGGAAGCTAACCCATCAATACTTATAAAATGTATGCGTCATTCATTGCAGCTAGCTTTATCACATGCTTCATCTAAATATTTACCAAGGAATTTGGAATACCTTATTGCTGAAACACTCTACTGGTTTTCCAAATAATTTGTCAGACAACAGCAATTCAATACATTATATACAGCCTTGAATGATGGTTCCACACCACCGAAAATTCTGTCAGATTGCAAAACTAGATGGTTATCAATTTAACCAGCTGTTGAAAGAATTATGAAGCAATGGCTGAAGTTGAAGACACACTTTGAAATAACAAGACAAAGTGAAAAGTGCTACACAGCTGAAATACTATATGGAATGTACAGTGATGAAACAAATGTGTCATTCATTCTCTTTTTATAACCTATTCTAATGGAAGTGCAAAAAGTTAAAAAACTGTTTGAATCTAAACTTGTTGATAAAGTTAAATTACTTGATGATCTCACCTTGCTATTTCACTCGGTAAAAGACTGGTGTTGCCAACTTATAAAGCTGATTTGCTCTCTTGCACTATAGAGAGCTATTTGGCTCCTAAGCCACACCTTGGATATTAAATCGAATCAAAAATTGATGATTTAAAAACAAAAGGACTGTTAACAGAGAATGAAGAGAACAACTTAAGAGAACACTGTCAAGATTTCCTTATCTCATTATTGAAGCAAAGACTTCCTGAAAATCTAGATGTTTAGAAAAATATTTCACTTTTTTCTGTGAGCAACAAACTTCAGCCAACAAAGGACATACCTAAATATTGTAAAGTTATGAAATTTTTAGGGGCTACTGATAATAGTGTCGCGGAAGCAGAATATCAGTTAACCAAAATAAAGTTAGCTGAATGGACAAACAAAACAGAAACTAAAGCGTTTTGGAGTGAAGTGAGACAATTTAAAGATGCCTCAACAAGTCCATTCTGTAAGCTCTTTAAAGTGCCATGTCTACCATGATACTACCCCACTCAAATGCTGACGTAGAAAGAGTTTTCAGTGCTAGGAATTATATCAAATATAACCTGAAAAACAGGATGAAATTTGACCTCTTAAATGCTATCGTGCCATTACAATTCGGCCTAATGAGACTAGAGAAATAAGCCTACTGTTCCACTTATAAAGAAATTTGAACAGCTAAAGCATACCAGGGTCATTTTGGATCTGAAGCTTCAACTTCATTATCCAAGCTAAGTTTATCCTGTGGATCTTGTGAGGCAGACATCAGTGAAGGTGAGGACATAATTATGTAGGGTAAGTCATAACAAAAGCTATGTAATTTTTGACTTTTTCAATTTGGATGTTTTGTCTAGATCTTTTCCACGCAGATTTAGATCTTTTTAGATATTTTTTGACACCGTTTTGGATATTTTTTGTCAAAGAAAAGTGGCAACACTGAGCCCAGGAGCTACAAGCTACAAGCGACAGTAGACAAAGTGACTGAGTGGTGTACAGAAATGAGGGCTGTCGTCTACCTAGAAAAGGCGTCTGTTTTGTGGTGTTCTCTGGACAATAGAATCGTTAAAACTAATGTCCCAAGTCTCACGATAGATGGTAGAAACGTCAACAGAGAGAGAGAGAGAGCAAACTGAAATATCTGGGAATTACATTTGACAGAAGCCTGTCGTTTAAGGACCACGTGGAGAGTGTTGTGACGAGATGCAAAAAGGACTTAGTGCACTTAAGACTCTGGCTGCAATTGACATAGAGCAGAGAATGCTTTTCACACTGTATCAGCACCTGATCCTGTCAGTGGTGGATTATGGCCTGGGACTGCCTACCGTCTCAAAGAGTCAGATGGACAAACTAAAGCGCATACAGAACGCGGCTATGAGGGTCATTCTGGGCTGCACCAGAGACACCCCAGTGATGTGTATGCGATACATCCTTGGTTTGCCGACGGTTGCAGGTAGGCACAAGGTGATGCAGGCGAAGTCATATCTCAGGGTAGCTGCAGACACAGACCACCCTCTGCATGAAGATCTGGGTGCAGTTAAGGGTCAGCGGATGATAAGAGGGAGGTCATGGATGGCTCAGGCAGAAGACACAATCAGACAGGTTTGCATCCTTGAGAACATTAGGAGAGGAGTGGGTCAAAGTGCCACCTGAACAGTCAGACTTGTGTAGAGTCATTATCACACTGAGTCGGGAATGCAGAGACTGACCAGCAGGTGCCACAGAGGTAGAAATTCAGCAGTTAATTCAAGATAATGCTCGCTCAGAGGATTTGATGATTTACACAGACGGTTCAGTGTCAAGAGGCAAAAGAAGTACTTGGGGCTTCTTAGCAAAAGTTAGTGGTCGACGCTTGGTGCAGGAGAGCCTAGCATATGACACCACAACATCCAGCTTAAGAATGGAGGTGGAGGTGGTCACTGTAGCTTTCCGCTGGCTAGAGAACACGACACACACACACATCGTGATTGTAACTGATTCATAAAGACTGCTAAGGAAGATCAGAACAGGCAAGCTTCGTGCAGAATGGCATGCTTCACTGCGGAGGACACGAATGAGGAGTATTATCTGAATTTTTCACCAGGTCACACCGATGTGTTGGGAAATGAACAGACGGACAGACTGGCTGGCTCTGCACAACTTGATGGAATACTGATACACGATAGGGCAGACGTGGTTAGTGCCTTGTGGGAGAGCGTGTTCAATTCGGAGGAGCATATTGATCACCACAGTCTGATGAGTTCGATGCAGTTGATGGTGACGAGAGGTTCTGGCAGAAGCTCAAGGCTCAGAGGAAAGGCAAGACGGACGTTTAATCATAATGCTACTGGCTCCATTAGTATCGGAACTCGTCGCTGACTGCTGAATATGAGGACGGAGCGCTTATGGGAATGGCCCGAGTGCTGTGATGTCGGTTCTTGAATTAAATCAATCAAATCAAATCTATTGTACATTTGGTTAGGTTTTTTGTTGTTGTACATAAGGTAGCACGCCCGATGTTTTGGTACGTTTAAAAAATTTTGCATCGTTTTGAATTGTGGCGGTGTACGCTGGATCCAGTAGGCACTGAAGGAAGACCGATGTCAGTTATGCATTGTTTAGAAAAGTGGCCAGCCTTTATAAAGAAGAACATTAAATGTTGAATGTCGAATATTGAATTAGGAATCGACATCACAACACTCGGGACACCCCCTCCCCTCCCCCCCCCCCATAAGCGCCATGTTCCCATCTTCAGCAGTAAGCGAAGAGTTCTACCGACGGTCAGCCTATGGATCATGCTGCTATTATCCATGCCCTCAGATAAATGGGAAGAATAGAGGATTTTGAGGATGCCTAAAACAAGGTACCATATGACTTCTTGATTGATCCGCTTCTTGATCTCAAGTCTCATTCCACTTCTCATTATCTGGATCTCATCGGCTCTCTTCGAGCGGAAAAGAGGGGTGTGGGGGGGGGGGGGGGTGGGTAGTGTGTTTAAATGCCGTAGTTAGGAGAGAACTCTTTCAATGAAGTATTTAGGAGTGTGCTTTAACTCTAAGTCTTCCTTTTTTTTTTTGAGCATGTCAACCATGAGGTTTGACTGGGCGAAGGATTATGGCTGCGACAAACTTCACTTATTTTTCTTATACCAGGATCGGATCCTTTCTGTATTTGAGTGCGCTCTGGCAATTCTGACTCTAGGCCGTACACACATACAGGGACTAGATCGAATACAGAATAAGGCGATGAGCATCATATTTGGATGCACGAGAAATTCAGCATGCAGAGCGATGAGTTACCTCTTTGATCTTCTAACGACGGAAGTGGGAACAGTGTTTTGCCGAGCACGTGCGTGTCTGTGTATCTATCAGTGCTGATACATACCATCCATTGCACAGTGAGATTCACAGGAAGAAGGGTAGCAGGTTAAAAATGAGGACAATCCTGGGTGGGTCAGACTGAGGATATTATTCAACACGTTGTTGTTCAACTGAGGACATAGAAACTGGCGAGGAATGGATACGAGTGTATGCCGAGTTGGGTACATCCTTTTCAGTCTGCATAAAACTGGGTAGAGATTACAGAAAAAAAAAAAAAAGCCGTTGCTGATTGAGGCAGAAGTTCAAGTCCCAATTCTGGAAAATTCTGCTGACGCAGACGCAGTTATCTACACAGACGGATCCGTCGTTTGACAGGCTAGTTCAAGGGGAAACTGTAACAGAAGAAAAGAAGGCTTTTGCCTCGACCACAAGTAGTCTGACTATGGAGGTGATGGCGGTAACAAAAGCAATGACTTGGCGAGAGGCGCAGCATTTTTTTTTACATGTGTGCTTTCTACGTGATTCCATGAGCATGCTTAAGAAGAGAGAGACAGGATGGATTCAAAGAAAATGTTAGGAGTCGCTTCTTCAGCTAAAAGGAATTAATTTCATTTTTGTGCCAGAATACCCTGGGGAAGAGGAAATGAACGAGCCGATTGGCTTGCTGGCAGGGTCACGGTAAGTAGAGGAAAATCAATGAATCGCGACATTCTCAATGTTCTCAAGGAGGCAGGACGAAAAGATGATTCAAGAGACGACGTTGAATCAGCAACACTCAAAAGACTACAAGAACTTCAGATCAAAAGAGGTGTCGCCAAACATGAACACTATTCAGGTAGCCAAAGAAGAAGAGTAAACTAGCACAGTTATCAGTCACCACACGCTGGGGGAAATACTGAAGATGGGATCCGAGCGCTTATGGACTTGTCATGTGCAAAGATGGAAATCTTTCGATCTATTAACTATTAATAAACGACATATCTGCGGAGTTCTCCGGAGAAAGAACATGAAATCACGAACGTATCTGCACGGTTCAAAAACATAACCAAGACCTTTATTACCGAGACCTTTTCTGTTTATCAACACCAAAACAAGACTGGAGATAGCCATCATGTATGCCTCAAGACTGACACCGAACTTGAGATACAACCTCCAGTGGACTACATTCATAATGATGTTTATTTCGCTTATACATATTAACGTTGCTGACGAGAAACCTCATTCACTGCTTTCTGGCATCTCTCATTATGCTCCGTCAGAATCTATATTAGGCGGGAAAAGTTTACCTACCGTAAGAAGTCCGATGCGGTCCAGTCAACGAGCGACGGAATTTTTGGTCTACAACTGGAATGATTTGACAACATGGAGCCCAGGCAACAAATCCTTGTCTGTGTGTGAAAAACACGTTGAGCAGACCATCGAAGGTTATCTAGCAAACCAGATGTGGGCTCTGCAGGGTACGTCTCGTATATGTAAACTTGCGTTTGAAGTCTGTACCGGAGTCACAGCCGGCCTTAGACCAGATAAGGCACTAAACTATATAAATCCCCGAAGCCCACACGGTTTCACATTTCACTACATTATCACAGAAAACCTACAACCATGCATGCGTCAAATAGTTCCACAGTTTTACAGTTTTTTCCCCCCAAACGCAAAATCAATCATATATCTTCAAAAAATATGTTAAGTAAAATGTCGCTTTCTATACATATGATGCCAAATTCAGACAATTTTTCTTGAGACGTAGTATCTCTCAGTTCAATTTTTATTCTCTTTAGCTGCGAAAATGATGCTTTTTCCTGGACTACTTGTTAGCAACAAGACACAGAAATAGTCGTAGAATCACTTCATCATTATAGAAAACTGACTGAATCGCGTGACAGATGATGTGATACTGATCTCTGTGTTGATTGTGTTGTCTGGCTGGATAATTCTGCTTGACATCATTATGGAAGTGCCCCAGTTGACTCAGGAACTTAACCAGCATGGCGAGGATACTCTTTCAGTCAAAAATATAATAACGTCCCCCTGAAGGTGTAAATATATATATATATAAGATGACTGCCCAGCTAGAATCCAGTCAAGTTGTCGACTAGTTTGGTGGTGGGACTGAGCAACCAGCGGCCGGAGATGCTTGTTTGGTACCTGCAATTGTGACACGATTGGGACTTGAAGATGGCAAAGGTAACGAACGCGAATGGTTGTAAACAACAGCGAGGAACTTTGTCATTGTTACCTGTGGAATATTTGGACATGCCAGAGAGTAGCTGACGGTGACTGGACCGGATTGTCTTCTGTGAGTAATAAAGAGATGTGTCTCCTCAATAACATCTGTGTGCGTCAATTCGTCAGATGTGTCAGTCGTAGTATGATTCCCCCAGGAAACAGCCAGAGGAAACAGAGAGCAAACAGAGATCAAACAGCCAGAGCAAACAGAGAGCAAACAGAGAGCAAACAGCCAGAGCAAACAGAGAGCAAACAGCCAGAGCAAACAGAGAGCAAACAGCCAGAGCAAACAGAGAGCAAACAGCCAGAGCAAACAGAGAGCAAACAGCCAGAGCAAACAGAGAGCAAACAGCCAGAGCAAACAGAGAGCAAACAGCCAGAGCAAACAGAGAGCAAACAGCCAGAGCAAACAGAGAGCAAACAGCCAGAGCAAACAGAGAGCAACGTCGCCTTTATATTTCAAGGGGAATAGTTTGGGGTACCTGCAGATTGCCAGGCCATCATAAATGAGGGGAGTGGTTACATTATTGAAAGCCAATCATTTATGAAGGACCCACTCGTTAATGAAAAGAATGAAAGCAGCAATACAATCAGATATAAAATACAGTGGAACCTCGCTTAACGAGCATAATTCGTCCCAGAATCATACTCATTAAGCGAAGCACTCGTTATGCGCAACAATTTTTCTTATATAAATTAATGTAAAATTCGATAATTCGTTCCATGTCGAAAAAAATACTCACAAAATGCTATGTATAACTTTTTTTTTTTCAAAAATAATTATCTACATATTGGTAATTAGAATGAACCATCTTCATCTTTTCTTCAAACGCAGAACGAGCCTACCTGGAATGCGAATTCGATTTGGAGAAAAAAAAAAGTCGAAATAATTATGATACATAGCTATTTTTTTTTAACTAGAAAGATGTCAAGAGACATTTGTTTTTGCCGACGCTTCAAAATATGACGAAAATGCGACAGAATTATCATTAAATAAATTTGCAACGCGCATAGCGACTTCTTTACTAGGGTAATGCTTCTAAATGTAAGATGCAACAGTTTGCCATGCTTTCAGCATTTCTCTTATTTCGTCAAAAGATTGTTGCTTTTCTGTTACCCCTTCCTCCTCTGACAAACTGTCCTCTAAAACTTCTTGCTGTGAAACACAATGCAACTCTATAAGCTCTTGGGTGGTCAGCTCTTGGTTGTGCTCTTCCACAAGCTCTTCGATATCACTGTTATCCACCTACAATCCCATGATAGTGGCCAAAGACACAATCTCTTTGACTACAGGTTCCACAGGTACTGTCTCGAACCCCTCAAAGTCACAAATCGACAACGCTCTCCGGCCAAATCTTCTTCCAAGAAGAAGTAAGTGTTCTCTTGGTAACTCCTTCCCCCGCCTTGTCGATCATCTTGAGGCAGGCAACGATGTGGAAGTGATTTTTCCAAAACTCTTCAAGAGTGAGGTTGGCCCCTTTAGTCACCTGAAAACAATGCTCGAAGAGTGCTTTAGTGTAGAGCTTCTTAAAGTTAGAAATAACTTGCTGGTCCATGGACTGGAGTAACGGAATGGTGTTGGGAGGCAGAAACTGTATCGCTATGAACTTAAATTCTTCAGAAAGGCTATCTTGTAGGCCTGGAGGATTCATGTACATATATCACAATATAACACAAGTTTGAGAAAATGTATGATCACAAGCGACACTACGAGGCTACTGGAACGAGTGTTAAACACAGACTGATGTAACATGCGCACAATTCGGGACTTTCCCTCTCCTCGCCACTCGTTATGCGAAACGTTGCTCGTTAAGTAAGTCATTTTTTACTATTTGTTTTGCTCGTTATGCGAATTACTCGTTATGAGAGGTGCTCGTTAAGCTAGGTTCTACTGTATACTGCTCTTGGTGATGGAAAACAAACTCTAAATTTAAAAAGAACAAATGCAACAGCATTCGTGTAACGATCGTATAGCTAACATCCCTCTAAATTGAGAAATCACTGCGAGCTAACCATTAATATAATTTATATCAACCAGTTCCGTATTTTATCTTGCTTCAGTTTTTGATGCCTGGGCAAAGCCAGGCCCTTCACTGCTGGAGGGCCGGTCAATATTCGTAGGGAACTACCACCAATGTAGAGGCATACGATCTCCAGAAGGGAAGACTGGAAAGAGTTTTGGGAGCAATTACTGCGTCATCTATCTGACTAATTTAACAGATTCAAAAGTAGGTTGCTTATATTTTAGTATTTCTTCTGTTTGAATTTGATAATGTGTGAAATATGAATGTAAATTACATAAATTAGCCACATGAATGATGGCAGAATATTCAACACCATCATCATCATCATAATCTTTGTCCTTTTGTGTCCTTATATGTCACACAGGGCTCGCACATTTTTCCTCCATTTCGTTCCATCTTGTGCAGTCACTTCGATGTCATGGACGGAATTTATTCCAGCACCTTTGGCTTCTCTCAAAAACATTCGTTTGATGATATTTCTTTAACGGTCCCTTTTTTACCCTATCCCTTTATTTCCTATTGCAGTGCCTGATTCAAAGCAGCTGACTTCTCTTATTGTCATTGCTCAGCGTGCCTGACCCGATCATTAACAGCCTGTCACACAAGTCGCAGAATTTCGAAACTTCATACTTCACTCGTACAATTGCTGGATTTACACGAATGCATCAGCCTTTTAGACATTCATTCGCCGATAAATTTCTAGAAGTTTTACCATCTCGCTGAGTGAAACAAAAATATAACCTAACGCAGCTCCTCTTTGGAGCTGTCAAAAGAAAGGCGGCCATCTTTAAACTGTCATTATGAGGTCTGTGCTCGTCTGCGCCGTGAAGTCAAGTGCTTAGCCACTCTTAGCTACTTGATAGCCTCCTTCAGGAAGTTTGTCAACATATGCTCTTCGTTTTGTTTCGTCTTCTACAACTTTTTCTTCATTTATCTTTCTTCCTGTAGTCTTCTTTAGGTCTGATTTCTTGTTCTGTTGATTTAGCATTGTGTATAGAAAGTTTCAGTGTTTTTCTTTCCTGACTACTGCAACATGTCATCACTGATCCAAGGTTTTCGGTCTAGCTTCTTTAGTACTGCACTAATCCTCACTCTTTCTAAAATTATGGTCTTGACACCAATGCACTTGTCCAGGACATTTTAATCTCACTTCACCTCAAGTACATGAGATATATTTTTCAGCTCAGTCTGGAACTCTTCTCTTACATTTTTATTTCGAAGTCTCTAACTTTTCTTTGTTGCACATGTTTCTTGCCAGCCGTTTTTAATTTAAGCTTCAGGTCTCCAAACATATGTTGTGGTCACTGTCTAAAATTGACCCTCTGTATGCTCGGACATAAGATGTGGTCACTGTCTACAACTGACCCTCTGTATACTTGGACATAAGATGTGGTCACTGTCTACAACTGACCCTCTGTATACTTGGACATAAGATGTGGTCACCGTCTACAACTGACCCTCTGTATGCTAGGACATAAGATGTGGTCACTGTCTACACTGACCCTATGTATGCTCAGACATAAGATGTGGTCACTGTCTACAACTGATCCTCTGTATGCTCGGACATAAGATGTGGTCAATGAATGCAACTGATCCTTTGTATGCTCGGACATAAGATGTGGTCAATGAATACAACTGACCCTCTTTATGCTTGGACATAAGATGTGGTCACTGTGTACAACTGACCCTCCGTATGCTGGGACATAAGATGTGGTCACTGTCTACAACTGACCCTCCGTATGCTGGGACATAAGATGTGGTCACTGTCTACAACTGACCCTCCGTATGCTGGGACATAAGATGTGGTCACTGTCTACAACTGACCCTCTGTATGGTGGGACATAAGATATGGTCACTGTTTACAATTGACCTTCTGTATACTCGGACATAAGATGTGGTCACTGTCTACAACTGACCCTCTGTATGGTGGGACATAAGATATGGTCACTGTTTACAATTGACCCTCTGTATACTCGGACATAAGATGTGGTCACTGTCTACAACTTACCCTCTGTATGCTCAGACATAAGATGTGGTCACTGTCTACAACTTACCCTATGTATGCTCGGGCATAAGATGTGGTTACTTATAAACAACTGACCTCCTGATTGCTCGGACATAAGATGTGGTGACTGTCTGCAACTGATCCTCTGTATGCTGGGACATAAGATGTGGCCACTGTCTATAACTAACCCTCTGTATGCTAGGACATAAGATGTGGTCACTGTCTATAACTGACCCTCTGTATGCTGGGACATAAGATGTGGTCACTGTCTATAACTGACCCTCTGTATGCTAGGACATAAGATGTGGTCACTGTCTACAACTGACCCTATGTATGCTCGGACATAAGGCGTGGTCACTGTCTACAATTGACCCTCTGTATACTCGGACATAAGATGTGGTCACTGTCTACAATTGACCCTCTGTATGCTCGGACATAAGATGTGGTCACTGTCTACACTGACCCTATGTATGCTCAGACATAAGATGTGGTCACTGTCTACAACTGAGCCTTTGTATGCTGGGACATAAGATGTGGTCACTGTCTACAACTGAGCCTTTGTATGCTGGGACATAAGATGTGGTCACTGTCTATAACTGACCCTCTGTATGCTCGGACATAAGATGTGGTCACTGTCTACAACTGACCCTCTGTATGCTAGGACATAAGATGTGGTCACTGTCTACAACTGACCCTCTGAATGCTGGGACATAAGATGTGGTCACAGTCTACAACTGACCCTCTGTTTATTCGGACATCCATGAACGAGTTTCTATATTAGTTGTTTATACAGAGGTGGTCTATGTTATTTTTATGCCTGTCATCTGGCGAATGCCAAGTTTGTGAATTTCGTTGTGTGTAAGAAAAGTGCATGCGGTGATTAAATCTGACTTGATGCGAAATTAGGCTAATCATTTTAAATTTTCATTCTTTGCGTTAACTTTTTGCTACAATCATTTTTTCACTGCCTACTTTAGATTACAACCTCCCATTACTACTAACAGATAACTTTTAGAAATTTGACTTCCGGCTGCAGTAAAACGTCATATGGCTGCAGCTGGAAATCAGCTTTCTAAAAGTGATCTATTATAAAGTTTTACTGTGCATACTTATGGATACAGAGGTCCGTCCCTGGATTGTCAGTTGGACTGCAGCGATCCTGTATGAATAGCAGACCGCCAGACTGCCTTTCGCCTAGGCTGAACCATGTAGAATCGCACCTGGGCTTCCACAGGGTTCCGTCATTTCCCCAGTGCTTTTCAATCTACACACGAGCAGGATAGCGGCAATAGAGACTGGGTATAAAGCAAATCTGGACTTTTGATGACTATATCTCAATCTACACACTGGAGAGAAATAGAATATAAATATTTAGAAAACTGCAGTTCACGGTAGATAAGGTCTGTGAGTGGTGTGAGGAAAGAAACTCGATCGTCAACCCAGATAAGGCGGCGGCATAACCAAGGCAGACTGCTCACCACAGAACAAAAACAAGACATGCAGTGGACTGAACACTTCTCTGACCTCTTGAACAGACCTGATCCTGAAAATCCCCCAGATATTCAACCAGCCTTTCAGGACAGTGACATTATTACTGAACCACCAAGCAAACAAAAAATCCTAAGCTATCCACACTTTAAAGAACAGCAAAGCACCAGGCAAAGACGAACTGCCAGCAGAACTTCTCAAAGTAGATCCCAGCACAACTGCTAGCATTCTAGAACCATTGTTCAAGGATATTTGGGAAAAAGAAGTGTTGCCTGATGACTGGACCGAAGGAACAATAGTCCAAATCCTCAAAAAGGGAGATTTAACAGACTGCAATAATTGGAGGGGAATTACTCTACTTTTAGTAAAAAGCAAAATATTTTGTAAAATCATCATAATGAGGCTTGAAAAAGGAGTAGATAAATGCTACGAGTAGAACAAGCAGGATTCAGAAAGGGCAGAGGAACAACTGAACACATCTTCGCCATACGCAACATCTTAGAACAATGCAATGAATGGCAGAGAAGTATATATATTAATTTTGTGGACTTTGAGAAAGCTTTTGACAGCGTCCATAGAGACGGTCTATGGAAAATTTTACGAAATTATGGAATTCCAGAAAAAATAGTCAACACAATTGCTCTCTTCTATAAAGACTTTTCCTGCAGTATAAAAAATTACAATACATCTTTCCCAGTAAAGACAGGTGTAAGACAGGGATGTGTTATGTCATCTCTCCTCTTCAACCTTGTGATTGATTGGATACTAAAGAACACAGTAGACAGGACATTGAGAGGCATACGATGGACTCCATTCACCATGCTTGAGGACCTTGATTTTGCAGATGATATAGCACTCCTATCACATAAACATGAACATATACAAGAAAAAAGTAACAGACTACACAGCACAGCAGAAATGGTGGGACTGAGAATAAATACAAAGAAAACTAAGATCATGGCATGCAGTCCAAACCAACAACCAGTGACCATAAATAATCAAACTCTTGAAAATGTAGAACATTTCACATATCTTGGCAGTGTGGTGTCCCTGCCGGGAGGGACCGAAGAGGACATACAGCCACGTCTGAGCAAAGCTAGAGCTGCTTTTGGAAGGATGAGGCAAATCTGGAAATCCAACAATTACTGAAGAGAAACGAAACCCCGACTCTTTAAGAGCATCATTTTGCCAGTTCTTCTTTATGGAGCGGAAAGCTGAAGAATTACCAAAAAATATGCACACAAGCTGTTTACCTTCCACCACACATGTCTACGTAAAATTGTCAAAATTTTCTGGCCAGATACAATCTCAAACACTAAACTACTTCAAGTCGCAAACCAAGAAACTTTAGACAATATGATAACCAAGAGAAGATGGAAATGGCTTGGCCATGTTATGAGAATGAATCCTGATATACCTGCCAAAACAGCTCTCACATGGACAACAGAGGGAAAGAGAAAACAGGGGCGCCCAAAAACAACGGAGAAGAACGATGGAAAGTGACCTGAGTGCGGCATCTTTGACATGAAAAACTGCACTGAAGATTGCACAGGACAGGAAAGCATGGAAAGTCCTCTCTGAAGCCTCATGTTCTACTAGGCACAACGAGAACTGATGATGATTGTGGAGCTCGGTCATCAACCCCGATAAGGCGGCGGTATTGCAGTGTACTTTAAATGATAGAATTGGTAGAGGTGTATTCTCGGACATAACAATAAACGGTAGTAACAAAAAGAGAGAAAATTCACTAAAATATCTAGGAATTACTTTTGAAAGAAGCCTGTCTTTCAAACATCATGCGTAGGAATTAGTTTTAAATATTGAGAAAGGTCTCAATATTTTGAAGGTCATTGCATGATGGGACATGGAACAGAAAATACTCTATACACCCTACCAGCAACTGATTATTTCGGTGATGGAGTATGGTTTAGGACTGCTAACACTATATCACACCAAAACAGAGAAGTTGGAATGCGTTCAACATAACACCACGCGAGTCATTTTGCGATGTACACGAGACACAACTGTGCCACATACTTGCATTACCATCTGTAAATGAAAGATACACAATTTTACAGGCGATATATATCTTGAAGTGGCAATGGACAGGGAACATCTTCCGCATGAGGCATAACAGGATAGCGTTGGCCAGGGAAGATCTTCCGCATGAGGCATAACGGGATAGCAAGGGACAGGGAACATCTTCCGCATAAGGCATAACGGGATAGCAAGGGACAGGGAACATCTTCCGCATGAGGCATAACGGGATAGCAAGGGACAGGGAACATCTTCCGCATGAGGCATAACGGGATAGCAAGGGACAGGGAACATCTTCCGCATTAGGCATAACGGCATAGCAAGGGACATCGGCTGAAAAGAGTTAGCCCTTGGAGTCACAGACAGAAGACACGATCACAACTGTTTGTGCTACTGACAAGATAGCTCAGGGTGAAAAATATTTTCACTTATATAAACAGTGGATAAAATCAAAGAAAGAAGAAGATTATATAAACCATAGACTGCAAAGGAGAGAAACCAACAGGAGTGTCAAGAAAGCAAAACAAGCATCCTGGGAACGTTTCGGTGAGTCACTAGCAGAAAATGAGAAAACAGCCAGCAGAAAATTTTTCAAAGTAGTTTAAAATATGCGGAAAAGAGATGAAAGCTACAACCCCACTGAAATAATTAATGATAAGACAGGAAGGCCATTGATAGATCCACCCGATATAGCAGAAAGATGGAGGGAATACTTCAATGAGCTCTTTAATCCTCTAGGAGATCATCAGGAAAGAACAACTGAAGAGCACAGAGCAACAGTGTTAGAACCACACATACTAATGGATGAAATAGAAAAAGTCATTAAACAGTCTCCCAAATATAAAGCACCAGGAGCTGATAGATTACCAACAGAAATAATTCAAGCAGCAGGTGAAAGCAGCATCAGATGGCTTCACAGAATATTCAATGCAGCATGGGTACAACAAACAGCCCCTATTGATTGGCAACATGCAATAGTTATACCATTGTGGAAGAACAAAGGAAGCAAACGAGAGTGCGGTCAATATCGAGGCATCTCTCTTTTAAGCCATGTTGGCAAAATGTATGCCAAGATAATAGAAACAAGACTGAGACCAGTGATAGAACCACAGCTGGCAGAAGAACAGATGGGATTTAGGAGACATAGAAGCTGCACAGATGCAATCTTCACACTTAAACAGTTAATAGAAGAGAACATTGAATACAATAAGAACTTATTTGTGGCATTCGTAGACCAGGAGAAGGCATTTGACAGATTCGACAGACAATTACTATGGAAAATAATGGCAAGATATGGAGTAAGCGAACACCTCATCGAAGTGTGCAAAAGTTTATACAGGGGTTGTAGAAGTGTAGTTAGAATAAATCAGGGAACATCTCATCCTTTCACAGTGACATCTGGAGTAAGACAGGGGTGTGTCTTATCACCACTGCTGTTTATCACCTACATCGACAGTATATGCAAGAATGCCAAGCCCATGAATGAAGATCTTAGTAAGATCAACGAATTACTCTTTGCAGATGACCAGGCCTTGATAGCATATACAGCCATGAAATTGCAACAACATCTAACGTCCATGAATGAAGAATGTAAAACAAATAATATGAGAATCAACACTGAAAAGACAGAAGTAATGTCAATAGGAAAAAAGAAGACAGATCTAAACATAGCAATAGAATACAAAGGCATTAAACAGGCATCTGAGTTTAAATATCTGGGAACTACATTTACCGAAGATGGGAAAATGGATAAAGAAATTGACATTAGATGCAGTAAAGCAAACCAAGTATTGGGACAGCTAGCCTCCCTCTTACAGCATAAGACAATCCCAATCAGCACAAAGAGACATCTTATTCAAAGCATATTTATTCCAACTCTGTGCTACCAGTGCCAGGCATGGTCAATCACAACAAACTATAAAAGAAAATTAGTAACCACGGAAATGAGATGTCTGAGAAGGACTGTAGGAGTGACCATAAAAGATAAGATCAGGAATGAGATCATAAGAGAACAAGTCGGCACAGAACCAATTCTGGATTGCATACAAAGACAGAAAGTGAAATGGTTTGTCCACTTAGAGAGAATGCCTTGTGACACCGTACCATACAAAGCATACATGGAAAGAGAAGAAGGACGTAGAGCACGGGGTAGACCAAGAACAAGATGGAAGGATAACATCAGAGAAACTCTACAACAGCACGATGTGCCTATGGTCGAGGCAGCCAGAAGAGCTAGAAACAGAACCTTATATCTCCCTCGACACCCAAAGCGGTAAAAGAGGAAGTGAAGAAGAAGAAGAAGAAGAAGAAGAAGAAAAATATTTTACAGTTCCGCCCAGCAAAACAGACTTGCATAGAGCGCTAGTTGCCTTGGAGCGAGGGTGCAAGGAATGGATAGCTGGCGAAGCAGAGTCAGCACTACAAGAGCTGATCAATAAAAATTCATGCCCAGGTGACATTGTAATATATACAGATGGGTTTGTGGTTAGAGGTAAAAAGAAAGGGCTGTGTTTTAATGCAAAGGGTGAACGGACACTGCTTGAAAACAAAGTCTTGCGTACAACACCTCTACATCCAGTATAAGAATGGCAGTGGAAGCAGTAACCGTAGATTTTCGATAGCTTGAGAATAGCAAAGCCCAGCAGGTTGTGATTGTGACAGACTTACAGAGCAAGCTTAGGAAAATTGAAAATGGTGTCCTGCGATCAGAGTGGCTTGCGATCAGATTATCCTGCGTTCAGATTATCCTGCGATCAGAGTCTCCTGCGATCAGAGTGTCCAGCGATCAAAGTGGCTTGCAATCAGATTACCCTGCATTCAGATTATCCTGCGATCATAGTCTCCTGCGATCAGAGTGTCCTGCGATCAGAGTGTCTTGCGATCAGAGTATCCTGCGATCAGAGTGTCCTGCGATCAGCGATCAGTGTGGCTTACATAACTTCATAAGACCAATCTCAAGAGCATAGCTTGGATTTTCTGTCTATGTATTCAGGTGTGCGGGGCAACGAGCGGGCTGATAGATCAGCTGCTGTCGCTCTCCTGTGTGATGAGCTACTATGTGATCAAGCGGATGTGTTAAAATCCCTATGGCACTAAATAGACGGTGCAAAAGAACAGATAGGGAATGCAGACACTGAAAGATTTATTCAACCTGGGTTAATTAGAGTTTTTGGAAGAAATTCAACATTGAAGGGAAAACAGAGACATACATTTAATCAGGTTGCAACTGATTCTAAAAACGTGTCACATTCCCCCCCCCCCCCCCCCCCAACCCCTTATCTTCTCTTCCTGAGTATATAAGTGTAAGGCCTTGAACCAGTCATCTGCCCCTGGCCAACTCAACTTTACTAAACCCTACAATATCTAGTTGGCATCTATTCATTTCGTCTGGCGACCTTTGTACCCTGCGCCACGTCCCATCATTCCCAAACCCCATTCTAGTGATTTTTGTCTTTCTTTCTGTTGGAGCCAGGCTGGACGCATGCCTGGCCACTGTTTTTCACAGAGCGACTTTCGTCCGTTACCGACATACATACATTCAGTGCACCATACCAACTTGACCCATTTTTTTACCACTTGACTTCCTTTCCTGTAAGTTTCTTTAGCGATTCATTTTTTCCCCTTCAAACTCATAGGACTGGAGAACTGACCCCACTCGCAACTCCCCCTTTATCGTCCTGGCTTAGAACCGGCAATAGCGGATATGATTTTCAATACTGCAAAAGTGTACATTTAAAATACAATGGACATTGAATATTTTATTGATACCTATGGTATACTAGTAATCTCATCATGCGGTGAAACAGACAGATAATCACCAAGTAGGTCCCTGTGTGTGTGGGTTATGGGACTGACCGACTGACTGACTTTCTACCCCACTAGGACATCACACAAGCGATAAACACCCGATGACACAAAGTGCCACCATGTGGGTGAGGATTACCGTGGAGAGGATCCCAGAAACCGGGTTCAGCCTTTAGGCCATATTTATGGCCAGGCTATATTGCGGCCCCTGGCAAAATCCAGAGTAGGGCTTTAAATAACGAAAAATTCCATCCTAAAAAGGACGAGAAATAATTATTATATTAGTTATGGGAGAAAAAAACACACACGAATAGACCCACTGCTCACTCACAAACATGTCGTTAAAGTTGACTAATCAGGGATGTTGGCTTCGAAGTTTGAGTGCATCTGCACGAGAAGCGAGGAATCAACAGTCAACTTGCACGTCCTATAACAGCACACAGACACACACACAAAGTCCAAAGGACGAACAACCAGGACTTGCGGCAGAAGTTTACAGCCGGTGAACTGGGAGAAGAAAAACAGGGGACTGATATTAAACAAGCATCGTGTTCGAAATAACATTTCCTGGCCTCACTGAACAATTATTTTACAAGTGTGTTTTATATCATTTATTTGTCCAGAACTTTGGTTTGAGAGTTGATGTGATCTTTGATTATGTTTCCTGCATTAGAAAAACACTATACTTGCAACAGCAGCACTGCACGCAGTCAAGATTGGCGTCTGTTTACCTGACACCTGTAGACAGGAAGATATTGAAGACCTGTTTGGAAAAAGTATGTCTCATTCATCATCGCAATCTTCTTTCTTTTTTTTTCTTCATCACCATCGTCCTCAATCATTATCATCACTACCGTCATCATCACCTACCTCAACCTGATGTCGCCTACCGCATCACCATTATTACTGACTCCAATATCACCGTCATCATTATCTACCGCAACTTAATGTCGCCTACTGCATTACCATTATTGCTGACTTCAATATCACCGTCATCATCATCTACCTCAACTTAATGTCGCCTACCGCATCACCATTATTACTGACTCAAATATTAGCGTCATCATCATCTACCTCAACTTAATGTCGCCTACTGCATTACCATTATTGCTGACTTCAATATCACCGTCATCATTATCTACCGCAACTTAATGTCGCCTACTGCATTACCATTATTGCTGACTTCAATATCACCGTCATCATTATCTACCGCAACTTAATGTCGCCTACTGCATTACCATTATTGCTGACTTCAATATCACCGTCATCATTATCTACCGCAACTTAATGTCGCCTACTGCATTACCATTATTGCCGACTTCAATATCACCGTCATCATCATCTACCTCAACTTAATGTCGCCTACTTTATTACCATTATTACTGACTTCAATATTAGCGCCATCGTCATCTACCTCAACTTAAAGTCGCCTACTGCATTACCATTATTACTGACTTCAATATTAGCGTCATAACTATTCACAAAATTATTATTATTCTCTTATATCGTCATCATTATCTTGATTTTCAACATCAACATCATCACCACCGTGATCAGTTTCCAGCTGTGCTGTTAAGCGTCGAGTAGTAGTATAGTTTACGGTGGGCAGTAACGTCTCTTTAATGTCATCAGTCCTCTTCTCCTAGGGCGACCTCTTGATTTCACTTCAGATTTTTCATGTGTAGCGTCTGCAGATGTTCTGGTGCATAGTTATTAAATGACCAAATCATTTTAACTTGTATTTTCTCTCAACGAAGTTGGTTCACAAAGCATGCCTGTCTCCACGTTTTTCAACATGCTCTGTGAGTCAGTTTCAATCATGGCATGTGTGTACAGCTGATTCTCCATCCAGCGCAAGACACCAGTGACTGCCTCCACCTCCGTTCTCAAACTAGACTGTGTGATATAATTATGCTAGACTTTCTTGCACAACTCGACGTCCATTTGCTTTTTCTATAAGCTCCCATCCATTTCGTCTGCACTTCAATACACAGTCATTTGTATAGATCGCCTTGTATTTCTATATTCAAATACGTTTTTTTTTTAAACAGAGTCATTCAGAGGAGTATATAATATAACTGTATATGATTTTGCAAACACAGTCTTCATTGCCTCTTTTATTAAAAATCCCTGCAATATATTTCCATTGTCCATATATTTAGAAGGCGTATATAGTTACAAGTTTTCTGAGATTAGCAGGTAAAATTGTAGAGTGTGGGGCCTCAGGGATTTATTTAGCTTATGACCTAATCAAGTGTAAATCTGGTCCTACTCGACCGCCATAGCTGCGCTAGCCACACACTTGTGTGTTGCCGCCACTTGGAGGTGCAATTGGGAATTGACTTGAAGGGCCAGTCAATGCTTTTCAGTCATGTTATGAACAGAGAGACATCTGAGAACATCGCGTTGATGGAAAGATTAACAGTAGAAGAGGCAGATTAATCCCAGAAGAAGAGATGCTTGTTGGCTTAAAGCAATGAAACGGAGGAATATCAAATGGATTCAAAATACCAACGTCTACAATCTGTGCAGAGAGACTTACTTACTTAGTCGCTCCTCTTCTACCTTGGGATGTAGAAGTTTGTTAAAGAGACCGCCAGACGTCCCTATAAGCAGTTTTCTTTCTGCCTTTGTTCCATTCTAGTTCTCTGTCAGCCAAGGACTGTCGGATGTTGTCTTCCTAGTGGACCCTGGGTCGCTCTGGAGGTCCTAATGCAGAAACACGATGATAACGAGTATGCCATTGCTGTCTCCGCGGTCGGCTCTCGATAGTGTTTGTCAAAATCAACTCAAAACTGTCTGCTCCCAAATTGCCGGCAGTTGGAATCCAACCAGGAATCTCCTAATTACCAACTGCGTTAGCAAATCTTAAGACACAGACGCTGCCGCCTAATGTAGTAACACTTATGTTTTGTAAAATGTATACATGTTTTTCATCATAGGATTGGGGCTGATGAATCTGAGTTCGTTTTTGGAACCTTATTCAGCGGATTGTCTGTCAGACGCCAAAGAAATGACAATGTTCACCAAAATTGCTTTGTGAGTATAAATAGTAGCTCTATAATCTATACCGACTGTCTGAGTAGAATTAGCTCTATAATCTATACCGACTGTCTGAGTAGAATTAGCTCTATAATCTATATTTGCTTTGTGAGTGGAGGTAAAAGCTCTATAATCTATATTTGCTTTGTGAGTGGAGGTAATAGCTCTATAATCTATATTTGCTCTGTGAGTAGAGGTAAAAGCTCTATAATCTATATTTGCTTTGTGAGTGGAGGTAAAAGCTCTATAATCTATATTTGCTCTGTGAGTGGGGGTAATAGCTCTATAATCTATATTTGCTCTGTGAGTGGAGGTAAAAGCTCTATAATCTATATTTGCTTTGTGAGTGGAGGTAATAGCTCTATAATCTATATTTGCTTTGTGAGTGGAGGTAATAGCTCTTTAATCTATATTTGCTTTGTGAGTGGAGGTAAAAGCTCTATAATCTATATTTGCTTTGTGACTGGAGGTAAAAGCTCAATAATCTATATTTGCTTTGTGAGTGGAGGTAAAAGCTCTATAATCTATATTTGCTCTGTGAGTGGAGGTAAAAGCTCTAAAATCTATATTTGCTCTGTGAGTAGAGGTAAAAGCTCTATAATCTATATTTGCTTTGTGAGTGGAGGTAAAAGCTCCATAATCTATATTTGCTTTGTGAGTGGAGGTAAAAGCTCTATAATCTATATTTGCTCTGTGAGTGGAGGTAATAGCTCTATAATCTATATTTGCTCTGTGAGTGGAGGTAAAAGCTCTATAATCTATATTTGCTCTGTGAGTGGAGGTAATAGCTCTATAATCTATATTTGCTCTGTGAGTGGGGGTAATAGCTCTATAATCTATATTTGCTCTGTGAGTGGAGGTAAAAGCTCTATAATCTATATTTTCTCTGTGAGTGGAGGTAAAAGCTCTATAATCTATATTTGCTCTGTGAGTGGAGGTAATAGCTCTATAATCTATATTTGCTTTGTGAGTGGAGGTAATAGCTCTATAATCTATATTTGCTCTGTGAGTGGAGGTAAAAGCTCTATAATCTATATTTGCTCTGTGAGTGGAGGTAAAAGCTCTATAATCTATATTTGCTCTGTGAGTGGAGGTAAAAGCTCTATAATCTATATTTGCTCTGTGAGTGGAGGTAATAGCTCTATAATCTATATTTGCTCTGTGAGTGGAGGTAAAAGCTCTATAGTCTATATTTGCTCTGTGACTGGAGGTAATAGCTCTATAATCTATATTTGCTCTGTGAGTGGGGGTAATAGCTCTATAATCTATATTTGCTCTGTGAGTGGGGTTAAAAGCTCTATAATCTATATTTGCACTGTGAGTGGAGGTAATAGCTCTATAATCTATATTTGCTCTGTGAGTGGAGGTAATAGCTCTATAATCTATATTTGCTCTGTGAGTGGGGTTAAAAGCTCTATAATATATATTTGCTCTGTGAGTGGAGGTAATAGCTCTATAATCTATATTTGCTCTGTGAGTGGAGGTAATTACTCTATAATCTATATTTGCTCTGTGAGTGGAGGTAATTACTCTATAATATATATTTGCTCTTTGAGTGGAGGTAATAGCTCTATAATCTATATTTGCTTTGTGAGTGGAGGTAAAAGCTCTATAATCTATATTTGCTCTGTGAGTGGAGGTAATAGCTCTATAATCTATATTTGCTCTGTGAGTGGAGGTAATAGCTCTATAATCTATATTCGCTCTGTGAGTGGAGGTAATAGCTCTATAATCTATATTTGCTCTGTGAGTGGAGGTAATAGCTCTATAATCTATATTTGCTCTGTGAGTGGAGGTAAAAGCTCTATAATCTATATTTGCTCTGTGAGTGGAGGTAATAGCTCTATAATCTATATTTGCTCTGTGAGTGGAGGTAAAAGCTCTATAATCTACATTTGCTCTGTGAGTGGAGGTAAAAGCTCTATAGTCTATATTTGCTCTGTGAGTGGAGGTAATAGCTCTATAATCTATATTTGCTCTGTGAGTGGAGGTAAAAGCTCTATAATCTATATTTGCTTTGTGAGTGGGGGTAATAGCTCTATAATCTATATTTGCTCTGTGAGTGGGGTTGAAAGCTCTATAATCTATATTTGCACTGTGAGTGGAGGTAATAGCTCTATAATCTATATTTGCTCTGTGAGTGGAGGTAATAGCTCTATAATCTATATTTGCTCTGTGAGTGGAGGTAAAAGCTCTATAATCTATATTCGCTCTGTGACTAGAGGTAAAAGCTCTATAATCTATATTTGCTTTGTGAGTGGAGGTAAAAGCTCTATAGTCTATATTTGCTCTGTGAGTGGAGGTAAAAGCTCTATAATCTATATTTGCTCTGTGAGTGGAGGTAAAAGCTCTATAATCTATATTTGCTTTGTGAGTGGAGGTAAAAGCTCTATAGTCTAAGTATGCTTTGTGAGTGGAGGTAATAGCTCTATAATCTATATTTGCTCTGTGAGTGGGGTTAAAAGCTCTATAATCTATATTTGCTCTGTGACTAGAGGTAAAAGCTCTATAATCTATATTTGCTCTGTGAGTGGAGGTAATAGCTCTATAATCTATATTTGCTTTGTGAGTGGAGGTAAAAGCTCTATAATCTATATTTGCTCTGTGAGTGGGGTTGAAAGCTCTATAATCTATATTTGCACTGTGAGTGGAGGTAATAGCTCTATAATCTATATTTGCTCTGTGAGTGGAGGTAATAGCTCTATAATCTATATTTGCTCTGTGAGTGGAGGTAAAAGCTCTATAATCTATATTCGCTCTGTGACTAGAGGTAAAAGCTCTATAATCTATATTTGCTTTGTGAGTGGAGGTAAAAGCTCTATAGTCTATATTTGCTCTGTGAGTGGAGGTAAAAGCTCTATAATCTATATTTGCTCTGTGAGTGGAGGTAAAAGCTCTATAATCTATATTTGCTTTGTGAGTGGAGGTAAAAGCTCTATAGTCTAAGTATGCTTTGTGAGTGGAGGTAATAGCTCTATAATCTATATTTGCTCTGTGAGTGGGGTTAAAAGCTCTATAATCTATATTTGCTCTGTGACTAGAGGTAAAAGCTCTATAATCTATATTTGCTTTGTGAGTGGAGGTAAAAGCTCTATAGTCTATATTTGCTCTGTGAGTGGAGGTAAAAGCTCTATAATCTATATTTGCTCTGTGAGTGGAGGTAAAAGCTCTATAATCTATATTTGCTTTGTGAGTGGAGGTAAAAGCTCTATAATCTATATTTGCTTTGTGAGTGGAGGTAAAAGCTCTATAGTCTATATCTGCTTTGTGAGTGGAGGTAATAGCTCTATAATCTATATTTGCTCTGTGAGGAGGTAATTACTCTATAATCTATATTTGCTCTGTGAGTGGAGGTAATAGCTCTATAATCTATATTTGCTCTGTGAGTGGGGTTAAAAGCTCTATAGTCTATATTTGCTCTGTGAGTGGAGGTAATAGCTCTATAGTCTATATTTGCTCTGTGAGTGGAGGTAAAAGCTCTATAGTCTATATTTGCTTTGTGAGTGGAGGTAATAGCTCTATAATCTATATTTGCTCTGTGAGTGGAGGTAATAGCTCTATAATCTATATTTGCTCTGTGAGTGGGGTTAAAAGCTCTATAGTCTATATTTGCTCTGTGAGTGGAGGTAATAGCTCTATAGTCTATATTTGCTCTGTGAGTGGAGGTAAAAGCTCTATAGTCTATATTTGCTCTGTGAGTGGAGGTAATAGCTCTATAGTCTATATTTGCTCTGTGAGTGGAGGTAAAAGCTCTATAGTCTATATTTGCTCTGTGAGTGGAGGTAAAAGCTCTATAGTCTATATTTGCTCTGTGAGTGGAGGTAATAGCTCTATAGTCTATATTTGCTCTGTGAGTGGAGGTAATAGCTCTATAGTCTATATTTGCTCTGTGAGTGGAGGTAAAAGCTCTATAATCTATATTTGCTCTGTGAGTGGAGGTAAAAGCTCTATAATCTATATTTGCTCTGTGAGTGGAGGTAAAAGCTCTATAATCTATATTTGCTCTGTGAGTGGAGGTAAAAGCTCTATAATCTATATTTGCTCTGTGAATGGAGGTAATAGCTCTATAATCTATATTTGCTTTGTGAGTGGGGTTAAAAGCTCTATAATCTATATTTGCTTTGTGAGTGGAGGTAAAAGCTCTATAGTCTATATTTGCTCTGTGACTGGAGGTAAAAGCTCTATAGTCTATATTTGCTCTGTGAGTGGAGGTAAAAGCTCTATAATCTATATTTGCTCTGTGAGTGGAGGTAAAAGCTCTATAATCTATATTTGCTCTGTGACTGGAGGTAAAAGCTCTATAATCTATATTTGCTCTGTCTGTTGAGGTAAAAGCTCTATAATCTATTTTTGCACAGTTCAGATACGTCTGGCTCTATAATTTATACTTACATCGTGGATAGAATCGATTGTTTTTCTGTTATATATCAATGTTTGGACTGTTATCCTACTCCTGCTTGACCTGAACATCAAGAAAAACTGGCTCGTAAACAGCGTCTTTTCCCGAAAATGAGGTATTTGAAATATGTCAAGAGCTACGGTGGTCTGGAGATAACGATGATGGAGGGTTCCAGAAAAGGAGGTGCATTTTCTATGAAAAGCTATTAAAGGGATCGAGATCTAGCCAGAGAAAAGAGACTTTTCAGGCGTACGTGAAGAAAGCAAAGTTCTGTAAAGGACATTTTGACTGATGGTGAGTTTTGTTCCAGAACTTGCGATTTGCATATACATCCGTTCACAGATCAGGCTTTTTGTATGCAGACTGCTTGTTCTTTGCCTATAAGTCAGCCGTACGCCGACTTCAAAGGAAACCATAAAGTGTCGACTCTTACGACATGCTTGTTAAGGGGCAGTTTGTCTATTCTGTTTTCCTCCCACACTGGGGCCCTGGATCCCACAGAGGAAGAGCTGAGTCTACCTTCTGCGACTTCCCGAAGCGTGTCATTACTTAATTAATCATAGCTTCCTCTTCTGCTTCGATGTTCGCCCTTGAAAGGACAGCTGACACCTGATGTTGTGGTTCATAGCTAGGCTGCGATATATGCTCGCCTTAGGGTCCAACACTCCTCATTTCAGTAAAACCCTAATTAGTTGCTTTTTACGACATGCTTATTAGATGGACGTGTTTTTATTTCCACCCCACCCCCTGAACAATTCTCTCTAAGGCTGGGACCAGTTACCAACACGGCGATCTACAATGACAATGTCTTAGGTCTAGTTACAAAAAGTCTCAACCACTTAGTTACTACAGGAAGACAAACTCTAAATATGATCCGTTGACAACTTACAGGCTGATAGTTCTGGTAATAGGTACTCTAGTCATCTCTGGTACAGCCATTGATCTGGCAGCTCAGTTCCGCAAGCCGGAGTCAAAAAATCTCACACCGGAAGGTCAAGTCAAGGAACCGGATCAAGAGATCAAATCACAAACTACAGGTGAGATCCTGTCTGTCTTTCTTTATGCCAGCTTTCCCGACTGTCTATTTACCAGTCTCAGTGTTTTTATTACCATATATACTACTTACCCACACACCTGCTAACACGTCTTCTTTCTTTCTTTCTTTCTTTCTTTCTTTCTTTCTTTCTTTCTTTCTTTCTTTCTTTCTTTCTTTCTTTCTTTCTTTCTTTCTTTCTTTCTTTCTTTCTTTCTTTCTTTCTTTCTTTCTTTCTTTCTTTCTTTCTTTCTTTCTTTCTTTCTTTCTTTCTTTCTTTCTTTCTTTCTTTTTCTTTCTTTCTTTTCTTTCTTTCTTTCTTTCTTTCTTTCTTTCTTTCTTTCTTTCTTTCTTTCTTTCTTTCTTTCTTTTTTCTTTCTTTCTTTTCTTTCTTTCTTTCTTTCTTTCTTTCTTTCTTTCTTTCTTTCTTTCTTTCTTTTTTTCTTTCTTTCTTTCTTTCTTTCTTTCTTTCTTTCTTTCTTTCTTTCTTTCTTTCTTTCTTTCTTTCTTTCTTTCTTTCTTTCTTTCTTTCTTTCTTTCTTTCTTTCTTTCTTTCTTTCTTTTTTCGGTCTGTCTGTCTTTATTTTTTTTCAAACCCCCTATCTTGTTTATCCATCCACCGATTCATCCATCCATCCACCCACCCAACCTACCATCCATCCACCCGACCACTTATGCATGCATCCATGCATCCATCTTTCCATCCATCCTTCTATTTTTGTATGTATGTATCAATGTGTCTGTCTACCCATCCGTTTGTCTGTCCGTCCTTCCATTCATCCATCCATCCCTCCCTCCATCGATCCGATTACCTGTCTCCCCATTTCAATTTGATCTGTGACTCGTTTTTTACAAAAAAAAGTTTGTTTGTTCGTTTGTTCTATCTCTGAGCCTATTGTAAATAGATGTATGTCCAAACAACGTTCTTACAGAAGGTTTTCTCAAACCCAAGACATCCAGTCTTACATCTGACGCTGAAGCCAGTAAACCGAAAGCAGCGACACACATACAAAAAACAGGTAAGACAAACATTACTTGTCTAAAACAAGGTCCTTACATTTGACTTTGCGTACGTGGATTACTTCCGGTCCACTGTAGTAGGTAATCGGATTACTGCTGACGCTTTAAAGAATAATGTGTTCTAGCCAAACTTTGTTTGTCGATGCAAATCCTCCATTTCTAGACTGGCGATCCGAAGGTTCCTTCTCTCAAACACAAAGCTGAATGCTTGGTGATACACTATGAGCTGCGGATTTCATGTGGAATTTTTCTTTCTTTATCTGTTATGCCTCCGACGAATCTGTTGTAAACTGCACTAAAAATCGCAGGTGGGCAATAAAGTTTGGAATGGCGTGTGCTTATGCAGCATGGCGTGTCAATGCTGGCTTTCATTACTGACTGCTTTCATCAACACTGAGCAGCAATTCTCGTGTGGGACTGTTATTGTTGGCATTTCTGCCAGCTGCCTTATGCATTTAATCTGCGTGTCCGAGCTTCAATATATAGCTGGGATTAACATGTTTTCGCTAGTTTTCAAATGCGCCAGTAAAGGACATTGTGTGTGATTTCCAGCTGAAACCGGAGCAGAGCAGCTGTTGTGGCGACGCGTTTCCACCAGACTGTTATTTTCATTGTACAGTAATGTAGGCGTCTCCCCTTCTAGCAGTCTGATTACAGCAAAACCTTTATAAGTTGACCAAAAAAAAAAAAAAAACTGTAGAAAACTGGTCAACTTACAAGGGAAGTCAACATACATAATGAAGCCTGTTGTACTGATAATAATCTTTCTTAAACAATTTATATTTGAGACAACAGTAGCAAGTATGAAATCTTATAATAGCACAGCCAGGACAGTATTTTTTATGTATGATGCCCCTGTACAGTCATTTATTCTACGCCCATTTCCCCTCAGCTAAACTTCAGCAGCGTTGTAGATTTTCAAACTACCAACAATGAGAGGAGGGGTTATTTACTTTTAAACTGCACTAAAGTAATTAAAATTTAACTGAATACCGCTTGAAAACCGCAAGGTACAAGAATATAATGATGAGATTAAAGGAGATGAGATGTATAAACAACTACTTTAAAAAAAGAATGTATATAAATGGTTAAAGGGGGCAGCTCAATATCCCTACACATCTCTCGGGGGGGGGGGGGGGGGATGGTAGGAGGGGGGATCCTAGGTGACTATACATTTACTAGTTATCTGAATTCTTTCTTTCTTTTTTCATTATTTGGTTGTTTGTTTGTTTGTTTCTGTCATTATTAGTTTGTACGGTTTTTTTTTCTTTCATTTTTTGGGTCTTTGTTTGTTTGCTTCTTTCTTTCTTTCATTATTAGTGTGTTTGTTTGTTTCATTGTTTTCTTATTTTTTCTTCTTTCTGTCTTTCTTTCTTTGGGTCTTTCTATCTTTCTGTCTTTCGTTTTTGTTTGTTTGTTTGATTCTTTCTTTCTATCTGTCTGTCTGCCTACTTGCTGATATGAGTCATTTCAAATAAAGTTCTACCTATGCATTAACCTATCTATCTATCTATCTATCTATCTATCTATCTATCTATCTATCTATCTATCTATCTATCTATCTATCTATCTATCTATCTATCTATCTATCTATCTATCTATCTATCTATCTATCTATCTATCTATCTATCTATCTATCTATCTATCTATCTATCTATCTATCTATCTATCTATCTATCTATCTATCTATCTATCTATCTATCTATCTATCTATCTATCTATCTATCTATCTATCTATCTATCTATCTATCTATCTATCTATCTATCTATCTATCTATCTATCTATCTATCTATCTATCTATCTATCTATCTATCTATCTATCTATCTATCTATCTATCTATCTATCTATCTATCTATCTATCTATCTATCTATCTATCTATCTATCTATCTATCTATCTATCTATCTATCTATCTATCTATCTATCTATCTATCTATCTATCTATCTATCTATCTATCTATCTATCTATCTATCTATCTATCTATCTATCTATCTATCTATCTATCTATCTATCTATCTATCTATCTATCTATCTATCTATCTATCTATCTATCTATCTATCTATCTATCTATCTATCTATCTATCTATCTATCTATCTATCTATCTATCTATCTATCTATCTATCTATCTATCTATCTATCTATCTATCTATCTATCTATCTATCTATCTATCTATCTATCTATCTATCTATCTATCTATCTATCTATCTATCTATCTATCTATCTATCTATCTATCTATCTATCTATCTATCTATCTATCTATCTATCTATCTATCTATCTATCTATCTATCTATCTATCTATCTATCTATCTATCTATCTGTCTGTCTGTCTGTCTGTCTGTCTGTCTGTCTGTCTGTCTGTCTGTCTGTCTGTCTGTCTGTCTGTCTGTCTATCTATCTATCTATCTATCTATCTATCTATCTATCTATCTATCTATCTATCTATCTATCTATCTATCTATCTATCTATCTATCTATCTATCTATCTATCTATCTATCTATCTATCTATCTATCTATCTATCTATCTATCTATCTATCTATCTATCTATCTATCTATCTATCTATCTATCTATCTATCTATCTATCTATCTATCTATCTATCTATCTATCTATCTATCTATCTATCTATCTATCTATCCATGATCTTTTCTGTAAACTGAGAAATAAGGTAAAATATTTAATTCGTAAAAATAAGAAAGATCATTTTAAAAAAATGATTACAGATAAAACAAATAATGCAGACATTTGGAGGGCTATCAACATCCTAACCAATAAGCATTCTTCAGATCAATCAAAACCAAATTATCTAACGTGTGATGATTTTAGTTGTTTCTTCAAATCAGAAATAGAGAATTTAAAGTCCACAATACCAGACTCACAGTGTGACTTAAGCTTACTAGCATCATTCTGTGAGGAAAAATGCAATACGAATATCCCTTCTGAGATTCCCCTTATGTCTGTTGCTGAAGTATATGATTATCTCATCAACCTCAAGCAAACAAACTCCTCTGGCTTGGATGGAATCAGCAATCGAATCCTTCGATGTGCTGCACCTGTCGTTAGTGATTTCTTAACGTTTATATATAATCAGTGCCTTGCCAAGAACTACTTTCCATCAGCATTTAAAATTGCTAAGGTTTATCCTCTGCTTAAACCTGGTTCAGCTGACAACAATTCTCTAGGCAACTATAGACCCATTTCTCTACTATCTTCACTATCTAAACCATTAGAGAAACACATACATAAAATAATGTTTCAGCATTTAAATAAAAATAGTCTAATAGTCGATAGCCAGTCAGGGTTCAGACCTAAACACTCTTGTCAAACTGCGCTGACAAAAATGACAGACAACTGGCACCTTAACATCAACAATGGCAAAATTTGTGGTGCCGTATTTGTTGACTATAAGAAAGCCTTTGACATGGTTGATCACAATATTTTAATTAGTAAACTAAAGACCTTAAAAACCAACGACAATTTAGTGACATTAATAAAATCATTTTTGTCTGATAGGCAGCAGGTAGTCTCCCTCAGTAACCGTTATTCAAAACCCACACAGTTAAATATAGGCGTTCCTCAGGGTTCAACATTGGGTCCACTACTGTTTGCTACTTATATTAATGACCTTCCGTTACATCTCAGTATAACATGTGATCTGTTTGCTGACGACTGTACAATATATACTAGTCATGACAATTGTAATGAATTAGAACGTTCTTTACAGAAAGAAATAGATAAACTCATAAAATGGAGCAATGATAATCGCATGCAAATTAATATTAATAAAACTAAATCTATGGTGATAACAACTAGGCAAAAGCTACAAACATTAGCTGTACACAAGCCACCGCTTGAGCTCTTCATTGACAAGCTACCTATTGGTAATGTAGTTGAACACAAAACATTAGGTGTTTTAATTGACAGCCATCTAACTTGGAGTTCCCATGTTCATGCCATGACCAAAAAAAGTAGCACAAAAAGTATATCAACTTGGAAAAATTCAGCACTTTCTGGACGAAAATACACGTAAAAT